TCCTCCGCCTCTTCTCGGTTTCTTCCTCCTCCTCCGCCTCTTCTTCGGTTTCTTCCTCCTCCTCCGCCTCTTCTTCGGTTTCTTCTTCTTCCTCCGCCTCTTCTTCGGTTTCTTCCTCCTCCTCCGCCTCTTCCTCGGTTCCCTCCTCCTCCTCCTCGCAGTGGAGACTACAAGGTGAAGATCCACGTGCTACTGCCTCTTCTTCATCATCGTCCACAACAAAGGCATTGTCCGTGATGAAGTTCATGTCACCAACCCCTACAGACAAACCGTGAAAGCAAAAGTGAATAAACAAATACAGAAAAACAACTCCCACTCACAACACTTCCTACATAAAAAAGACACTGCTAATGAAACAGTCGTCACCGCTAGAGTGTGCCTGTAGAGTCATTCATAAATTGGTTAGGCTTCTATTGGGTCACACCGAACGCACATCAATCAGTTCCAACAAAAAAACAAAACAAAAAACAAAAGAAAAAAAAGACAGTAAAACATTGATCAGTTATATTTGCTTGATTATAGACATTGCTTTTCTGACCATCCAGGCCATCTGACCCGATTACGAAGGCGTTGAATACGCCTAGGAAAACAATTTGTTGGCCACCCTCCCTGTGTAAAATGCATACAAAACCGCGGTCTCTTTTTCCAAATCCTCGTGCGACGACTCCGCGTTGCCACAAAAAAAAAGAAAAAAAAATGGCATCGCATAGAAGGAAGCAGGTTTCCTGTTGAGCTATCAAACATGTTGTACCTGGCATAGGCGTGGGAGAACAAATTGAGCTGTCTACCACCTTTGCGCTCCCAGTCGCAGCACTAAAGAAAGTGGCCCAATGCAATCAGTGCAAAATACAAAAAAAAAAATAATAATAATAATCCTAGTGATAATAGTAAGAAACTGAACAAAACAAGCTTAAAAAAAAAAACGGTGACGCATCCTTCGCTTCCCTTTGCCATCTTCTTCGCTTCTTCTCTCACTTAGAGTTTTTTTTTTTTATCGTATGCGTCCTTCCTTTTCCCTCAGTCAGTCCCTTCTTGTTTGGAGATTCGTGTCACAGGCCTCCTCCTCGGAGTTTTTTTATTATTTTATTTTAATAATGAATCTCCTGTCATGCACAGAATTATTATTGTGTTTTCGACCCGAGTGTCATGCTCTTGTTTTTTTTTTCTTTTTTTGTATCGGGCCTCTTTTACTTCCCTCTTTTTTTCCACTATTTGTGTTTTTCACGGCACCTCACTCGACTTCTTCCCGTCATGCATTCACAAAACTCTCATTTTTCCTCACTTAATGCTGAGGATCCCCGTTCCCATTGAGACTGAAAGACGCCTGCATTACAGCTTGGAAAGTTCCTCGATCAGGCGCTCCCGAATCAAGCTGATCGCCTCCAGCTCACGTCGGACCTCAGTTATCTTGCAGTCACGCACGTTGTCCCGCAGGCTAACTGTAATCTCGCGCACTTGGCGCCAGAGCTGGCCACGGAGATCCAACACACGGCGAACCGAAGTGGCCACCTTGATGGGCACAAGAATATAGTTGTTGTGACGCATAGAAATAATGCAGTTGGTTGCACCAGCCATTGCCTCGTGCATCGCAAGTGTGGCAAGGGTGGCGCAGAAGAGAGCGTCATTTGCCGAGGGTGGGCAAGCTCGAATCATGTAGGAGGGATCGATGTACTTCACCGTACCATTGGGAAAACGTTTTTCATTTGCCGCAAGCCATGCCTTAATCCGCTTCGTCAGAATGACACCAATGTTCGCAAGCTTCTTGTTGCCTGAGGCATCATGGCCACCAGCATCCGTTACCCAGTCTTGTCCAAAGCCCTCCGCCACAATAATAACGCAGCTGCGGGAGGTCGCAAAGCGACGCTGGATGAGCTTCATTACAATCTCCTCGGGGATGGGATTCTCAGGAACAAGGCAAATATTTGCCTGGGCACTGGCCACAGCCGCCTCAGCTGCAATAAAACCACTGTCACGACCCATAAGTTTCACGATGCCAATACCGTAGTTGAGAGAAATGGCTTCCGCGTACGCAGCGCGGACAGCCTCCACTGCCTTATCCACCGCAGTCTCAAAACCAAATGTGCGGTGTGAAAAGCTGAGGTCATTGTCAATGGTCTTGGGAACACCAAACACGGCGATGTTGGCACCGCGCCTTTTGGCCTCTTCAGCAATCGTTAAAGCACCACGTTGTGTGCCATCACCTCCCACGGTGAAGAGAATGTTAACACCAAGACGCTCCAGGGTGTCAACCATATCCTTGGGGTCTTGGGGACCGCGGCTGCTGCCCAGAATTGTTCCGCCGTAGCGATGAATGCTTGTAACAGAAGTGCGATAGAGCTCCATGGCGGTATGGGCGCCCGCCTTCGAGAGGCCCCAGTAACCAAAACGGAAACCAATAACACGCTTCACGCGGTACGCGTTCACAGCAGTCAAAGTCAATGAGCGAATCACATCATTCAGTCCAGGGCAAATACCGCCGCACGTAACAATGCCAACAACAGTTTCGGACGGATTGAAGTGGATACGCCGACGCGGTGCAGCAAGCTCACAAAGAAGAGGGCTCTTGGAAATAGGGACTTCAGAATATACCCCTTCTTTTGGATGGGGGTCGTACATGATGTGATCGATCTTGTCGGAGAACTCCGCACGCATCACATGTTTTTTGCTTGGGTTCGTGTACTTGCGTCCCTGGAGGCGAGTCACCTTTAAGTCCTCCTGGGTGACCACGCTCAAGGGGGCCTGGTGAGAACGCACAAGCGTGCTTGTGACACGAAGTCGGTTCTCCGTCATTTACTTATTCGGTATCCTTTGTTGTTATTATTGTTGTTGCCTATGTTATTTATGATCGCCTCGTTGTTTCTAAAGTGTTGCAGGCGTGAGAAACAGTGGGGACAACGCTATGACGCAGCAACGCTAAGCAACACAAACCGGAAAGGAAAGAAACAAAGAAAAAAAACACACACACACAATGGGCGTGCTCAGCCCGTTGGCGGAAGCTGCATGTGCAGCTCCCCGGAGTCGGCCACATTCGTGTTGTGTTGTTTCCTCCTGCTTCATTCCTCCTCTCTCATCCTTCCGTTGTTTGCTTATTCTGGAAATGTAGCACAGCCAGCGACCAAAAAAGGACGCCTACCAGCGGCGCAGCAGCAAAAGAAAAAAAAACGACGAAAGACGAAGGAGGAAATAAAGAGATATACGTAGAAAAAAAAAACAACACGCGTTCTTTTTTCATTCTTTCTTCAGCCTGCTACTAACCCTCCTGTCCAAAGTCTTCCGTGAATTTGATGTGTTGCGTAATGTCAGAATCCGAAACAGAGGGGCGGGCAGTACGCAGTGCCTGAGGAAGTCCTGCATTGTTACTGGGAGCGGCATCAGCAACTCCGGTTCCGTAAGCTCTTGCGCCGTCATCATGAATCCTTCCGGGTCCCCTGGGGAGCACGGCACCAGACGATTCTTACTCGTCCGTGTAGGATCCTTCACATCTGGTCCCGTCACACGTTTGAAGTGAGTTGCCACCTGCACCGACCTAATACATTCCATCATGGCGTTGCGTACAACAATGTTGATGTCACTGCCGCTGTATTTATCCGTCATCTGCGCCAACTCGTACCAATCCTTCTCTGTTAGTGTATGGGGTGTGTTCCCAATGTGAATTTTAAGCATCTGATAACGCGCCTGAAGATCTGGAAGTGGGATGTAAATACGACGCTCAAAACGACGACGGACGGCACTGTCAAGCGACCATGGGATGTTGGTGGCACCTAACACCAGCACTCCGTCATCCTCGTGACCCACACCTTGCATCTGTACCAGAAACTCGGTTTTAATGCGACGCAAGGCATCGTTTTCATTATCTGAGCGTGTAGAACACATGGAATCAATTTCATCAATAAATATAATAGCCGGCTTCCCGTCAGTTTTCCACGCTTCTCGGGCCATTTCAAACAGGCTTCTTACCAACTTTTCCGAGTCACCTAACCAGCGGGACATCAGATCCGCGCTGCTGACACTCAAAAAAGTGCCGTCCGCCTCGGTTGCCACGGCCTTTGCAAGGAACGACTTGCCGGTACCAGGGGGGCCGTACATGAGAATTCCCTTCCACGGCTTACGATTGCCAATGAAGAGCTGTGGAAAACGAACCGGGAGAATGACTGCCTCTTTAAGTGCCTCCTTTGCCGCTTCCAGACCGGCAATCTCCGACCACTTCACGTTGGGTTTCACCCGCAAAATTGCGCTTCCCAGTGCATTCTTCATGCGTTGTTTGTCATCCTCTTCTTCTTTCGCCTTTTTGCTTGCAGAGGCCGTCTTCTGCGTCGTGCTGCCCGCGCTTCCGGTACCACTGTTGTTGCCTTCCTTGGACTCCTCCAAGTACTCTTTTATCATCGTTGCCCGCTCCATGACCTGGCGCACCTTATTCTTTAACATCTCCTTCTTTGTCGGATTTTTATTCTCGTACTTGATGGCTGTCATAAAGACTTCAATGGAATCCATGTACCAGCGGTAGGCCTCCTCATACTCCTTAGCCTCGTCAAGCGTGGTGGCCCGCTTCAATAGATCCACAGCCTTTGAAGTAAAATCCACAGACATGGCAACAGACTTCTGCACAGAGAGAGAGAGAGAGAAGTGGAAAAATTACAAAACAAAAAAAAAACGATCGAGGTCATAGGCGGCACATAATAGAGAGCCAACACGCAGAAGAAACACACACACAAAAGAAGGTTTATATTCTGACGCTCCATCGGTGCGCCTGTCCTCTCCAACGGCATTCGGCAGCGAGCCGCGGAACCCCCTCTGCGCGTTGCTATTGTGTCACACTGAGATTTTGCTCTTCGCCACGTCACCGTCGCTGGATGCAACTGCCCCCCCCCCCCCTCCCTCCCACCACCACCACCA